TCTTCAGAAATCATTCTAATATGCTGATTTATTATCAGTGCTGGAAACTGTTGCTGCTTAATATTATTTTTTTTTGGAACCTGTGAAACTTTTTTCAGGATTCTTTGAATAAAGAGTTTACAATAATAATTTAAATGAGAGTTTAATTTAGAATACATTTTTAGATTTCCGGTTTCATTTTAATTACAGTTTTGCTTTGCTTTTTGTAGTTTTTGTTTCATTTAATAATACGATATAAACTAAATGAAAATTAGAAATGAGCTGAAATAAAAACTTGACATTTTATTCTATTTCAGTTATTTTAATTAAAGTACTAAATTTATTTAGTTTTTTTTTGTAAGGTTTTAGTTAACAGGTTGATTTGTGATCCAATTATGTACTGTATGTTTGTTGCAGTGTTATTTTGGTATCTTTTTTATAGCCTATATTTTTCATAGTTTTTGTTAATATTTTGAATTAGATTTTATTTTTAGATTTGCTGTTTTTATTTTAATTGTAGTTAAATTGTTGGTATTTAAAATGTCTATATGGTTTTTGTTAAGTTTTAGTTTATTTAGCTTTAGTTATTTTATTTTACTACAATTTAAACTAAATTAAAATGAGAAATGTTCCTGAAATAAAAATGCTTTGTTATATATATATATATACAATTAATTTTATTTCAGTTAATGTTTTTTTTTTATGGTTTTAGTTTTAGTTAAAGATAATAATCCTCATTTGTAATTAGTTAATGTTCCTGTTTTCTCTAGCCACTGAACTATGAGAAGAAGAAGCAGTACAGTCTTCACATCTCTGCAGAGAACACGCACCTGGATCCACGCTTCTCCTATCTGGGCTCGTTCAAAGACGACGCCACGCTCAAGATCACAGTCGGAGACGTAGATGAGCCGCCCGTTTTCTCAATGGATTATTACATTATGGAGGTGTACGAGAACGCCAGGGTAGGAACTGAAGTGGGAGCCGTCACAGCGAGAGACCCAGACAGCAAAAACAGTCCTGTCAGGTGAGAATATTTTTTTTGTGTATGTGTATATATATATATATATATATATATATATGTATGTCCAGATATTAATCAAATATTAAATAATTTAAATGGTGGATATACTAATTTTAATATCATTTTTTTATTTCATTTTATTTTAATATGTGTGGCTATTTGTGTAATTCATAGCAAGTCACCTGCAACACACCCACAAGACACAATTTGCTTGAATTTGCACTAGCAAATCACTACTGTTTATATAGGATTTTATTAAATCGTGGTGTGTATGTGTAAATGCAATGCTAAAGCAAAATAATCTGACATTATTTGTCTCTCTCTCTCTCCCCCGTGCCCTCCCATTTTTCACATCTCTCTGTAAAGGTCGAATTTAATAGGATGACATTGAGTTGATATGACATACAAGAATCTTTTATTGCTTTGACTCTCTCTCTTGCTCTGTCTATGGAGGATATTGTTAATTAGAGTAGTTAAGGCACCCCATGTTAGCATAGTAGTGAAACACCGCTGCCAAAGGCTCAATTGCCTCCACACATTCTAATGAAAGAGAGGTGTGAGCAGGCCATCTTATAAAAACATAATTGCTTTAGAGCTGATATCATGCTGCTTGCCAGAGAGGCCGGTGGAGAGGATTCAGATTAACTGCAATTCCTGTTTCATCACACCTGGAAAACACAGCATAATGATGCCTCTTTCATTCATTCATTTTGTTTTTCTTTCTTTTAGTTTATATGAGGGCTGTAAATTTAACGCATTAACTTAATTCATTAGTTATGAAAAATTACGCGATTAAAATATTTTAACGCAGTTAATGCACTGGCCCCGCCCCCAGACCTGTATGTCATCTTACAGTCCATACAGTTGACTGTTGACAAATATGATGCAGGACAACAACTCCATAAATGCAGTTATGCTCCTAAAATTCAAAATATTGGGACAAAAAAATGCCCCTGTATGAGTTTGTCTCATAGTCTATTTATATAATTTATACCAATATACCAATATACTATTTATACCACATGAGCAGCGGAAGCTGTATCACATGCGTGCTGTTTTGTCACGAATATCACGAGTTTAAATGTGATTTTATACAGCAGTTCAGTAAAAGTAGTTAATATTGTGTTATATTTTAAACACAATACTGTCTGTTTTGCTCAATTTTGCAGAGAAAATATTACCTTTAAAGCCACTGCAGAACTGTTGTGGATCTGTGAGCAACACAGCGGTGTTTAGTTTCTGAATGAATCCTTGTTTTGAACGAATCCAATGATTCAATAGCGTATTCATAAACTGAGCTGTTTACTTCATTCCTGAATGAATCAGCAGTTTGAATGAAAGAATGAATGAATGAATGAATGAATGAATGAATGGCTGGCTGAAAAAGAACTGTTGGTAACTAAGCTGTTTTGGACTTTCATTGTATGAACAAAAAAAATGAGTGGTTATGAACGAATGAATGAAACGCATTTGTCTGTATTTCACTCCGTCTCTAATCGCGCTCGCGGAAAGCGCTTGAGAAACAGTGTCTCTTCCGCAGCTCGGTACGCTTTCAACTAATTTTTTTTAGTCTCAAGCAAGACTGTACGACATTCACATTACATGATTAGACTGATTTTTTACGTAGAAAGGGCGACAGCACACTGCATTAAAAGAAATGATCATTCATGTTTTCATAACCGCTGGCATTATTATTATTATTGGAAATTGTGAAGATACAGTAGAATTAGATAGAATAATCTATTAAAAAAGTAGTCCAGTCTAGTAATGGCACAAAGGTGATTATTCAAATTTTGCATGCTGTGTGCTGTACTTGACAGATCAATGTTTTAAATGTATATAATTATGCAAATATGCAATATGCATTAACCCTGGGTTTAGAAACACACAGTGAGAAATATGTCAATCTGACTGCCCAGAATTAATTACTGACTAGAAATAATGTATGAATAGTGTGAAATAAAACACCAAGGTAATGTATGTTAAGTGTGAAAAGTCCATAAGAATCATTCTATGTATAAATGAAAGTAGAAAATGAGGATTCTCAATATGAAAGGCAATGTTGTGCACATCGTAGTCTGCAGAACACGGAGAAAATAACATTTGGATGACATGCAAGCAAACAATAGGCATGCAAAATAAAATGTCAGAATGTTCCTTTCTCTGGCAGTAAAAGGCATAAAGTGTAAAATCCTCATTGTTATTTCTCTCTCTCGTCTCATGCAGTCAAGGACGGTGCACATTTTCTTGTGGTAATGAGATATGACCTGTATGGTGTATTAGCATCTCCCTGTACTGATGGTTTGAGGATGTGTGTTTTCAAGCCATCTTTGAATGAACCTTCACAGTCCATGCGTGACGGAGAGGCCATAACTCTCGCCGTCATGCAAATGCAATGTAATCTCATTGGTTAATGTGAGATCCTCGGTTTCACACGAATGTTTTTTACATCAGTATTTATCACTGCTATAAATAAATAATTAAAATACATAAGAGAAAACAAGATAAGTCTCATAAATAATCCCTGGCCTCTTTTTTTTTTTGTCTGCTCTGAAGGATAACACATTTAAACTTTTTTTTTTTTTCAGTCCATTTATTGCATTTCTGTTCCCCCGATTTTAATATGCACTTCCCATTAAAAAAAAAAAAAAACAGCATTTCATTTCCATAGAAGAATTTATACTGCAGCATTAGCATAAAAATAAAATGGCATAGAAGTTTGAGAATCAGCATTAGCGTTATGGAAAAATAAGCAAGGTCACTAATTCACTTTTCATTTATACACATTTTATATTTTTATATTTTATTTTAGATTATTTATATTTTATTATTATATTCGCAATATTCATTTTAAAATAATTTATATATATATATAAAGAATTTATACTGCAGCATTAGCATAAAAATAAAATGGCATAGAAGTTTGAGAATCAGCATTAGCGTTATGGAAAAATAAGCAAGGTCACTGTTATCTCCTTTGTTTCGTTCCTAACTGTTATAATGATGCATCTGATCATTATCATATTTGTGTAAAGCATTTGTCTCATGAGACGTTGCAGGGAAAATGGTTCTTAAAGGCATAGTCTTCACAATAGACACCCTGGTGTTGCATTAACAGGATTTCGGGATGAGCTTTTGTGTTTTGCTGAGAAGATTTTTGTGTTTCCTGTATTCCTCCCTAGTTAACATGATGAAAGCTATTCAAAACATAAATTATTTTTAGAGTGCTTATGCACTTATGCCTTTTTTCAGCGAGTAGATGGAATCTGGATGGTGTATTGATATATATATATATATATATATTTATATATATATAT